ACACGTTAGCTACCGATGGGCAGCACCTCAGCTATTTTGCCGCCAAAAGAATCCCAACAATTTCACATCACCTCGCTGTAAGTTCTTGACGTAGTTATCTTTGAATAGCTCACGAATTTGATGACCCAGAGATCGGCATCTCTAATCATTGCCCCACGGAGTCAAGAGCATTTCGCACAAAAATATTGAAAGTGCGGTGCAGTCCAACCCGTGCTTTTCACCAAGCTCTTCATCAAACCTAGTTTGAATCATATGCCTGGTAGTAGGATTTTGTGGACGTCGACCAAAGCTAGGTAAGAGATATTCTTCTCATCAACTGTTACGGTTTTTTCGAAAATTCCATTCCTTACTTAAGCAGTGCAGATCACTTGCTAGACTACCCTAGACGCACCAAAATAGCAGCACGTTGTAGATTTTAACTGCATTCCTGTTAGAAATGTAACTTACTTCCAATCATCACAAAGATGCCGGTTTTAATTTATATTCCATGAAATCTACCTGCTGCTCGAACTTTCCGTATATCACTTTCACTTCGGTAGCACGAATTTTTTTCCTTGCACAACAACACAGTGTTGAGAATACGTTTCGAACAGTCTACGAATATTCCCCACTTTTGTTGGTCATCAGTTATTTATAAAGCATTCAAGAGACGATCAACGTCCCTAAAGTCTTTTTTCTGAGGAAAGTCTCTGACTGCTGGTGGCGCTTTCAATATGAATGAATTCTGATTCATTTTTGAAGTATCTTCTCTTGCTGGAGTCCTGAAACTTAATTTTGCCTTGTCCTTGGATTAGTTCAATTTGTAAACAGGGCAATTTAGTTCTGTGCTACTAAGTGTGTAGTTGATAATGCTTCGTGATGAAAATCTGGACCACGGCATGCTTCCGGATCATTAAGTCAACTCACTGTTGTCCTCATTAACTGACTGCGGCGAATATTTTCTTGAAGGTATTAGATTTGGAAATCCCTCACCAAATGGGACTGATCTCAGTTTAGACAGAACGTTGGGATATTCAATACTCGTATTCTTTTACTTTGTTACCGAGCAGGAAGAGGGAGAAAACTAACGAAACTAGTAGCCAATGGTATGCTTTCTCTGCTCTTTCCACATCATGGAACAGCAAAATGCAGTGATGGCACTTTTACATTCATCCATTGGTAACCTTTTTTACATTTAACACTATATATATATATATATATATATATATATATATATAGAGAGAGAGAGAGAGAGAGAGAGAGAACGTAGGCGGAACCGGCGCATCGTTTGTAGGTACGCTGCATTCGATTTACTAACCGCGTGCTTGCATGCTAAGTCCATTTATTTCAGGGGGTTCGTTTGCAATTTTTTTCTAATGCTTTTCTTTCTCATATAAATATCAGTACTTTCTTCTATAAATTTGCACACGTCGCTTAAGCCAATTGTATTTAATTTCGTTAACATTTTCGTGTTTATGGCATTTCCGTAACATATACTTTCTGACCTCGTGAACTTACCTCGGATTCGTCTGTAAACAAGTTATTTCATATGCTCAGTAATTTAAGATTTATGTCACCGTTTCCTTATGCATTACTCGATCTATTTTATTCGTTATCATTCACCCAAATGATTGGCTGTTGCTTGAAATCCCCGTTATGGTTGCGCTTGATGTGCATGTTGACAAGGTGCCTACCTGTCTATTACCCACTACTTCAACCATACTGGCTCCAGGAGACAGTTGGTCGTTGCTGGAGGGGACGGGGTGCACGGTCCTTGTGGCCGTGTTAGGCTCGAAGAGTGGTTCCATGCACTAAGTGTGTAACGGACTACGGTCCAGCCACCGCCTTGTGTGCACTTGATTCCCAAATACAGTGCGCTTGTGTTTGCCTGTGAAGGAGTGTGTGCCGGCTCCGTTGATGAAACTTGGCTCCCATCCACATGCCTCCCGGTCTTATTCCTTCGGGTTTACACTGGATATGGGGTGTGTGGTTGGAGCTGTGGGTGGTGCAGCGCAAGCCACCCATGGTCCCTCTGTAGGCGCAGGCGTCCTGTGGCTGGCCACAGTGACAGGCTAATCCGAAACCGGATGTCACCAACCAGAGGCTTGTCTTGGCCACTAATCTTGAACCCGAAGTAAACATGACACGCCTCTGTTTGGACTGTCATTCAACTGCTAGTTTCATGGTTGGACGGCAACCCGCAATCTCATTAAAGGCGGTGATTCGTAGTGACTCAAACTTTAGCCAATTCGAGCGGGTGATGTCCAATTTTCATCGAATTCAGCTACGGTTCTAGTGATCATACTGGCCAAGGTTTGTTTCATTACGAGTCAAGTCCACATTAAGGGTACGCGTCTCAATCCCGTCAAACAACACTCTAAATACCCTCCACTTATTTATTAACCGTTCTGCCCAGCGTTGCCTGTCATGACTTGGTGGCTGAAGGGGTAGAGGTCGCAAATAACATCTCAATTTTCCCTCATTCGAAACGTGTAACACCTTCGTGATGCGATCAAAGAAGGTCGAATCGCGTTGTGGAGTGCAGTGTTTTCGGGTGAGCAACACCCGACCTCCATACGCTGTGGCATTCTTTTCCCCACTTGGGCCGTGATACATCTTTCATAGCTTGATAATATCATTTTTTAACGAACCTAGTAAACATGTCAACAGTGTTAAAGCATTTTCAAGATATTCAAGCGATGGGTGACAAATTCTTGGTAAAGGTCCATCGTACCTACACACAGACAGAGAGCCACTCCATACTCAGGAATTCACTAGACAGCCGGCCGTCTTATTTGGACTCTCCAGTAGCGCGCACCCACCGAATCCTTCAGGATTCGAGCCCACGACCTTACCCTTACGAGCCGGAGACTTATGCCACTGAGCTGCAACGAACCTTCGCTAAAAACAAAAATTCCCCTGATACTCATCACTAATCAGTAGCCACCTTAGAAACTTACATGCCAACTCGATTGGTAGCGGTTTGCAAAGAAAGTCGGTGTACAGGAGGCCAGCCTTGTCCTCTGCACGTTTATAACATGCATGACAACATTGGAGGATGAGCCGCGCTTTATCGCAGTTTGCCAGCAGTAATGGCGGTTCAGTGCTCTCATCAATGGCCCAGTGACATAAGTCGCTGTTTCGTAGGCGTAACGTCGGGGATTCTGTTCCGGTAGAATTCGGCGGGTGCCCGCTACTAACGAGTTCCAATAGGATGAATCGGCTGTCTAGCGCTTTCCTGGATGTGTGCTGGCTGTCTGCCTGAGTCTAGTTGCGATGAATCACCGCCAAAACAAGATTAGCACCCCCTACTACTCACTAATAACTTTCCCCTACAATGATAATTAGTGGTCAGAGCTCAAGTTACCTTACATGACCCCCTACAAGTTGCCTAATGTGCGTCAGGGCTCAGTTCAAAGGCCACGATTGTTTTTCTTATTTGTTAGTGAAGTTGCATGGACAATCACTTCAAATTTCCCATGGTTTGCTGACGACATCAGGACATGTCCCGGAAATTCAGACGGTTGCCGTACAGAATTTACTTCAATATGACCCAGATATGATACCTTCGTAGGCAACTCAAAATCTGCATACGGCACCACAGTACCTATTTCTACAAGCTACGAACGCAAGTACAACAGCGATCGTCCGTCTAATGTGATCTTGGCGTACTGGTTCACGATTATTTGGCTTATTCCGAACCACCCGAGAAGGTATCGAAACTGGTAACCAAAATATCGGCTTGTTACGAGGAGAATACGAAAAAATAGACACCACTATTTTCAGACAGATTCCTAATGCTTATGTTCGCTCCCATGTCAAATACGCAATTCAAGCCTGGCAGGCCTTGCTGAAGCACGACCTCATTGCACCGGACCAGTTTCAACATCGGGCTTTCAAACACGTCATTAGAATACGCAGGCTTAACGTTTAGTAGCAGTATTAGTTAGTGGTATTCAGCGGACGGTATCGCCAACTACGATGCGTCTTGATATTGGCATAATTGCTTATACACAGTCCAAATCATGTGTGCCTCTGTTTACTGCAATTCAGCAGTAGTACCAACCAGAGAGGTCAGTCCTAGAAATTAGCGGAACAATACAACTGTATTGAGTGCCGCAGAAATTTCATTTCTTTTCGCGTGTGTCAACCATGGAATGCTCTTCTCCTACGCTAGCCATGTTTAAAAGTCGGTTGCATGACGCACTCCGCCACTTGCATTTGGTTATTTGACACTACTCTTCATGTTACCCTCGGGAAATACATCGTATTTATTTTTTCGCCTATTGAAGCTGTGGAAGTATCCGAATTGCAAGGCTTCTCTGCATTACATACGATAAGTCCATTCTTTTGACAGTAGAACTATCAACCGCACTTTTTTCATTAATGTTTTTCGGTAACACCAGAGTACCCAGCTGGCCTAGTAGAGCAGTGCTTCTTAGCCCGCATAAAGCCAGTGTCCATTATTCAACCTTATATATTGTAACTGAATGGACGAAGTAGCTAGTTAATTAATATAACTTTTATCTAATAGCACCTTAGTCTTTGCACCAGGAAGTGAAAAATATTTTAAATGCACTTTTTCAACTGGTCTCTATTTGGCGTTAGCCTGATGCAATATTGCTTTGATAGTAACATGACTTTAGTACGACAACACAGCAACAAATTGGGCAATAAAGTCTAGGTGATTTGCGCATGCTGGCATCATGAGATGAGGTATAATATTACACTTTCCTAGGCTTATTTAGGATGTCGCTGCGGTTCAACTAGATGTATTCATAAACTGGAACATTGAAAGTGAAGTATTTGAAATATCGTCAAAACCGTGAAGGGAAAGGAACTTTCGTGAGCGTTTTTGTCTGCAGCATATTAGGATGTTCTTAATTAGTACCGGTTTCATTGTTGTCCAGTGTTGTTCGCGGTATGGGTTAACTTTTAACTGGGTCAGTTCTTTTCATATGTTTGCGCTCATATGCCCCTCTTCCAAACATGAGCATTGTGAACTCTCTCCTTTTCCACAGGCTCGGACACAGACGTCGAAGGTGATACCTATGGGGCATCACTCCCTATCGAATGGGCGCTGGATCCACAAATGGACGTCCTAATTGCCTACGAAATGAATGGTCAGCCATTGCCTCGGGATCACGGGTATCCGTTGCGTGCGGTCGTCCCCGGTTGCATCGGAGCTCGGCAGGTGAAGTGGTTGAAAACAGTAAGTCCAAAGTTTAACCTGTTATGAATCTCATCAGGATACCTCGATTCGTCTCCACTGAATTTGGCTTCCATTCACTGAACAAATTTTCTCGTCTCTGCCGCAATAACTGCGTGAAATATCCATCTCTCTTTGGAGTTTGCGTCTATGCTTATTAAATAAATATATAGACAAATAAACCGGTTTTTCGACAGGCAAGATACCTTTCTAACATCAGTGGCGATCATATGATATGTGATATCATTATTGTATGCTCTCTTTTCTCAGTGGTGAACTGTATTAAAAAGCCCGGTCTCAGTAAGTGTTTACATGTGTTTGTTTTATGTTGAGTTTTCCTCGTTTCAACTAAGATGATGTTGACTTTATTGGTTCCTCAGTCCCGGGCTTAGATGTATTTAATCGGGCACTGGAGATATGTGTTTCTTTTCCGTTGAATGTGTTGGCCATGAGGACAGTAAATTCACTTGTTAGTGTTTTGACTCACAAGCTAAGGAATTCGTAGGCGCCATATGAAATATGGAACAATGGTTCGGTATGCCTGAAAAAGGTAAAGCATAACAGATCCCGTGGGATGAACCTGGTGAATATCGCAAACTATAGAAAAATTTTCGGCAAAAGTAGGTTTACGCCAATTGACTCACCGCGGTATGGGTATTATAAACTGTAAATGTCGTAGAGGGTAGAAGTCACGATTAAACTCCACACGAAAATCTGCCTCGACGGGGAATCGAACCCCGGTCCACGAATTTCCGGTCCGCTGCTCTACCACTGAGCTACCGAGGGCTGACGATTAGGTGCGGAACAAGCATAAGTCACGTGTTAAATTCCGCACCTAATCGTCAGCCCTCGGTAGCTCAGTGGTAGAGCAGCGGACCGGAAATTCGTGGACCGGGGTTCGATTCCCCGTCGAGGCAGATTTTCGTGTGGAGTTTAATCGTGACTTCTACTTTCTACGAAACTTACGTTACTCACAAACATCCTTCAAATAAATTGTAAATGCACTATGAGTCCATGAGGAATGACGACAAATGGGATGTTGGTGAAAATCGTGCCGCCTCTTGTTGAGCACATACAAGCGGTGAAAAAAAGTGGAATACGTTCTGGGAGGTGACGGGCAGTGAAATCGCAAACAGAAACTCGTGTTTATCCAGGGGCAATGAGTCACGTAGGATAATGCAAGAAATCAGTGCACGCTGAACTCGGGCTTTGCAGTCTACTAGCGTCGTAGCTCAGACGATAGATTCCGGTAGGGCATTCCATACATGGTAACCGCATAAGGAAAAGAAATTGCGACGGCCTTTCAAAGGACTCTACTCCTTTGCCAGCTAGAGATGGCGGCCTCTCAAATTACTGTTGTGACCGAGCTCTGGCAATTGGCAGCACGTGAGGCTTGGATCTCACTAAATCTGATAAGCCAAAATAAGATTTCCGCACAATCGCCGGTATTATCTACTGAAGACCCCGAGCACTTGAAGCCTTCGTTTATATGGCAAATGATACAAACCTTTGACATTCTTGGTTGCCCGGTGTTAGGATATCTAAGGTGGCGAGCAATCTCCTCACCCTGATCACTAGACCTGTACTGCGTATTCCACATGTAGACGTATGTATGAGTCGAAAATCTGTTGAAAGATCGACTGTTTGAATTGTCTGAACGCACGCCGCAGGAGGCTTGCTTGTTCGATGCCCCTTCTTGACTCCTCTCCAGCCTGTTTCAAAGGTCCAAGGTCGGCTTTGACCTAAACACCAAGATCTTTTACACCAGAAAACCTCTGAAGCTCTTGCTTGCCGAGTTTGTAGCTACACACCGGCTGGTGCCGTAAGTGCAGCACTCTACATTTGTCCACATTAAACCGAAGTAGATTCTGGTTTGACCACGCGTAAACCGTATCCAGATCGGCTTGAATTAGTTTGCATTTGTCGCTCTACACAAACTGATATCATTGGCGTAGAGTAGGCAGTCCGCGTTTTTGAAGTGTGTACTGTTGTTGAAATACATCAAAAGCAACCATTTTCCAAGTACCAATCCTGTAGAACTCCGCATTCAACTTGGACGGGAACTGATGTGGAGTCGCACACTCTTACTTCCAAGCGCCGGTGTAGGAGAAGGAGGAGGATCGCCAATACCAAAGATTTGGAGAGCAAAATGTCATGGTCTAACTGGTGGAATGCCTTTGCGATTTCGAGAAAAACTGCATCAACTCCTGTGCCATTGTCTACTGCTCCGGTCCAGCTGGATCGTGCTAGTAGTAAATTGGCAGTGCATAATCGATTTCTTAAGAGTCCGTATTGCTTTGCCGCAAGATCGTTAAATTGCTCTAAGTAGACCGTTAGCGCATCAGCAATAATCGTTTTCATGACCTTTGGATGTACCAGTAGTTGGATTACAGGACGATAGTTGGCTGCATCACCGCGACCACCTCCGGGGCGAGAGTTGGCGTACGGCGGACGCAGTACCGGAGATCTGACAATTGTTGTGTTTTTTACATGCACTCGCTACGAATCGCGGATAATTATAAACCATTCGATTCTGCATTGTGTGCTCCATTTCCCGCTGGAAAGTGGTTGGGAGGAAATCTAACGGCCCATGTGAAAACCGTGCAAAACTTTTTCCACCATCCAACATGGACCTTCAGTTTGACTAAAGGGCGTTTCCGTAGAGCTCGGGTCACTTTTGTCCCTCATTTTATATCCATCTTATGCAATATTTTGCTCTTTCGTTTTATGCTATATTTTATCTATGTATATAAAAAGGTCACGCCATAACATTCGTTTTTTGTTTTTACTCCGAATGAGCCTCCTAAGATAGGCCTTTTCCACAGGCAGCGTCCTCTCGAACGTTCTTTTCACCTTGAATGCTATTTATATGTGTTTATTTTATGCATACTCTTTCACCTTATCCGTACTCTATTTGATGGTGTTTCTTTTAGGAAAATGTGCATTTTTACTTAGGAATATCCCTTAGTTTGCTCCCTTAGATTGCTCCGGATAAGCTCCCGCAACCCTAATACGCTGCTAGAGGTTATCTACAGCCTTTAAGCCGCTCAATACTGGTTGGCTTATTGATAATACTAATTATAACGAATGATACTGGCGAGCTATCAATGATATTAGATGGATTCTTGATGAACCTGTGACGAAAGTAGACAGAACTACAATGGAACTGCAACGGAAGTATGTGGCATTAGATGCAGATCTGACGGGTGTAGAAGGAGCTGTGAGTTAGATAGACGGAACTAGTATGGGATTGTATAGAACAATGTCGAGAGTAAACGGAACCGTTACAGAACTACAAGAAAATATGCGGAACTATGACAGTGCTTGACGCGAAGCGGTTGACAGCCAGTGCTAATCTGTCCAGTGCCGCTTGACCCGTTTGTGTGCTGTCACAGATAATGGCAATATCATCAGCATACTCCAAGTCAAGAAGTCGTTCTCCTGGGAGCACATCCACACCTTCTAAGTCGTGTCCTGTAAACGTGATTTCCATGACTTGATCAATAGCGAAGTTGAAGAGGAAAGGTGACAGCGGGCATCCTTGTCTCACACCGCTGGAGATATTGAAGGGTGGCGACAACTTGCCGCAAGCCCTCACTCTGCTCGAGCTACGCGCGTATAACGCTCGGATAATATTTACATATCTCTCCGGCACACCTTTTCTGAGTAGACTGTTCCAAAGAACACGTCTACCCACCGAATCGAATGCGCATTTAATATCGAGGAACACGACAACAGTGGGCCGCCAATATATGTGACGGTGCTCCAACAACTGACGCAAGGTGAAGACGTGGTCGATGCATCCACGACCCCGACGAAACCCGGCTTGCTCCTCACAAATCTGGCTTTCACGAGCGCCAGTCAGTTTGTGAAGGATTAGGGGGCGAGTAATTTGGAGGCGATGGTGATCAGACTCATTCCTCTACGGCTGCCGCATTCCGGTCGTGAGCCTCCCTTGAAAATTGGGACTATGACGGAGCGGCTCCAGTCAGTTGGGACAGTTTCTTACTCCCACAGTTTCACTAGTAACTCGTGTAAATCATCCACAAGAGCAGGTTCCCCGAATTTGAAGAGGGCTAGAGGAAGATCATCTGGTTCCACGGCTTCAACAGCGCGATCTCACGTTCGACTTCTGAGCGAGAGCGTAGATCCAAAGGGACAGCCCATGGAGCATGGCGATCAGTGGCCGGCGAGAAATCTAACAATTTCCTCCGTTTAAATTGCCTTTCAAAGTGCTCAGCCCAAAGTTCCAAGCGTTTTGACAAGTTATGGATAGGCTGTTCACTCTCGTCACGTATAGTTTCACTAACACCGGGTCTCCTGCTGCCCGGTTTCTAGTATCAGGCGGAATAACTTACGATGGTTACCAAGGGCAGCGGCCATTTCCATCTCTGATGCTCGATGAGACCACGAGGATTCGCGGTCTCTCTTCAGGCTAGCGCGGAGTTTTGCCCGGAGCTCTTTGCGAGTTTCATTGTGTTCGCTTCCACCCGGAATATGCCGCGAGTATCGATAAGTTCCAGAGACTGCGATGAGACCCAATGTCCATGTTGGCGATTAAACATACCGCTTGAGGATTTTCCTGCTACTAGCAGCATCTGGTAAATATGGGACCAGTGAGCGTTTATCCAACTCGCGTGACAGCGTACTTTGATAGGTATTCAGAACAACTGGTTTCGCTGGTTGCATGGTGTCAATGCGCTCACAACGTCGTCGTGGGTGTCCGCCAAAGCGCATTCGCATGTCAGCACATACAAGTGCGTGTTCGGTGTCTATGCATGTGCTCCAAATCGAGCGACAGTTCTGGACGCAGTCACTCTATCGGTAACTTATCGTAACGTGATCGATTTGCGTCCAATGCTGGTTCCAGGTTGGTGGGCGCCAAGTCACCCTCCGGCGGGTGCTGTGTCGAAAATTAGTACTCGCAAGAAATAAGCGAACATCCTCACACAACTGAAGTAACCGCTCACCGTTGTCATTACTGGAGCCTACACGATGTTGGC